TGCTATTCATAGTAACGGACGCATCTGGTCACGCACCTCCGGCACATGCATTTGTACTTCTTGCGATTCGACAGTGGTGTGGCTAGGCCCTTACTGTCGTGTCGTGTTGTCCGGTTTGGCCCTCTACTTTTGGGTTTAGGGTTTGAGGCGTCGCCGCACGGGACACGAAACGAAAAACGAAACGAGTGCATCTTCCTGTAGAAAATGGCCAGGTTCATCGGTTTGCTATAGATAGAAACGGGTGTATTTTGCGACTTTTCGTGGGCAGATGCAGTCGTTTCGTCTTCGTTTCGTGTGCCGTGCGGCGAGACCCGTGGTGTTGTTGGATTTTGTTTCTGTCCGGTGAAACTCCCTCGTCGTTACGCTTGCTATGGTCTGGCTCTTACGGAGGGGGCAAGGTTTGCCCGAAGAGAATGATTGCAGTGATGGCCGTCGATGGATCCTCGTAATGGATTGCACTTATAGAATTATGGTATGCAGGGGAGTGGGCCCTCGGCAGGAGTGGACGTTTCGGGAGTTGATGCGTTATTATATATATATATTTTATTATAATATATAATTTTGAATTTTCCCCTTTTGTTTGCCCCTTTTCTGAAACGGGGGGTTGCATAGCCCCTGATTTGATTATGTTCTTCGGAGTACCGGCGGAGGAGTCGAACTCATGCTCCGCTTACTAAGGGCACGCTCACACTAGGTACCCAAATTCCCAAAAAAATGGGAAAATGGGAACGGCCGTTTTGAGGAAATGTGGCCCTGGCCTGTCACACTGTGTTCCCAACACGCTAAAGACAAGGTCGCGACATCGCTCTCTGCGAGGTGCTTGTGGAGGGCGCCGGTCACACGGTGGTACCTCAAATGGGAAATGCAATTGTTCAGTTTTTACAAGCTGTTTTTTCCTTTTTTTTTTTTTGGGTCGTTACTGCTGGCAACGGGTGTCCATACGAACCTCTCTGCTCGTGCTCCGCGCGTCTGACCACTCCGTGCTTGCACCCATTTCCCCAAATTTCCTTTTCTTCAATTGATAGGCCGCTAATATCGTGGGGTTCCATTTTTTCTCCAATTTTGCACGGTAATTCAGAAAATGATTTGAGAATTTGCGGTAACCTCCGGAGGTCACCGCAAATTTCCTTCCCCCGCGGCTTCGCAGGCCGCTGACAAATGGTCACCCCTTTTGAGAATTTGGGCAGATGTTCACCATGTGTGACTTTCCGGGAACCCTTTTTTTGGGGGGAAATGGGGATTTGGTACCTAGTGTGAGCGTGCCCTAACAGTCGCATGAGTGTGCCATCTATTCAGTAGGTCTGATTTCCCCGCGCTCGCGCGGGACGGGGGATTCCAAGCCAATGAATACTTCGGCGTGATGTGGTCGTTTTCGTTAGTTTGGTTGGGCTTTTTTTTTTTTTTTTTTTTTTTTTTTTTTTTTTGGTTTTTTGGGAGCTTCATAAGTTATCATTGCACTGGTGGAAGGAGCAGGGGGGAATAAAAATAATATATAAAAATGGACCACAGGGAATACTGTCTGTGCGGTTGGAGTGGCTCCTCTTCGTCCCGGGTGGGACTGCGGGATGGGCGGGGCCATCAGGTACGATGCTTTGGGTGGGATACGGGTGGGTGAATCGATGGTGTTTATGTGTATACGCGTGTGTGTGTGTGTGTGTGTGTGTGTG